GCATTTGGAGTAAAAAATAAAATAAAATAAAATAAAATAAAATAAAATAAAATAAATTGGTGTCAGGGGTTGAACCCAAGTAAGAATACTCTACCACCTCCTACTCCAGCAAGACGGATTGAAGTTAGATAGTAAGAGGTTCTGCTCAACAACGCATGAACCTTATGCCCCCTCCCCCTCCAAAAGGACTCACTTTCTGTGGAGTGTTGCTCCTGCTCTTGTTCCTGCTCTGGCACCCCTCTCCTCTGTGTACGCAAATGGGCCCCACAAGACTCCATGGTGGGTCTGGGAGGGCAGTGGGCAGCTTGCTCCCTTCTTTCTTTCATGGCTTGCCTGCCTGCCTGCTGAGCTCTTATCCCACTCTGTTCAGTTAACAACTCCAAAGACTAAAGTCCTTTCAGGAGGACAGGCTATCTAAAAGTAGTGTTTATCAGATCCAGGCTCTGCTCTGCTGGCTGTCACAGGGATGGTCACAGTCCCTCAGTACCCTGGCCACCACCCAGTCAGCCAGCTCTAAGCCTGGTGTCATCCCTGCCACAGGACTAGGGACTATAGCAGTGACTAGGAGGGAGACTGCCTCTCTGGGGCTCACCACATAGCATGGCTCGCCCTCCAGGCCTACTCCTGCGGGCTAGGCATCAGGGAAGAGGATGTCACTACACAGAGCTTCCTGAGACCATGAGATGGAATATGTAACAGAATCATGGGATGAGTGTGTGATACACACACACTATCATATTCTGATGGGCGTGACACTCATACCCAGACTCACTCAGTGTCTCCAGGGTCCCTCAAGATCTACTCTTCCCTGTGCCTGGCTGGGTTAGACTGAGGGTGGAAAGGAGACCAAACAAACACCATGGAAGGGCAGCTGGGTGTTGTTACATATAGAAGAACCAGCTCAAGCCTCTTCATGATTTCAGGCAAGGGACCCAAACTTTTTAAGCTTCCTCTGAAAAATGGGGGCAAAAATCTCTCCATCTCACCAAGTTCTCCTCAGCACAAAACAAAATAGTCCAGGTAAATCACAGTCTGGGGCCTGGCCCAAGAGGGATGCTCAGTAAATAACAACTTCCTTCCTTTTTCATACGTAACAGACAGACTCGAGTGCTTTGAGAGTTCCTCTTTGCTGAATTCCTGCTGGGGATTAACTATTAATTCTCCTCCTCCCTTAGGTCCAAAGACCAGTGTGGGAAAGGTCACAACCTCAGATGGAGGCTATGATCTCTGTCTCCCCACCCCCAAGGCCCAGTGTGTAGCTAGGTGATGCCAGAGGGGGTGGAGCCTGGGCCTCCACTGCCTACTGTGTTCAGAGCGCAGTAGGAAGTCCTGAAGGTAACCTAACAGGGTTAGGAAGGGCCAAATGCGTGTTTGCCCCTTGGGGGCAGAAAAATTGCCCAGGCTCCAGAACTGTCAAATGTGGACAGAGAGACAAAGGCCAGAGACTCCCAACACAGTTTTATTAACACCTCCAGCTGACACCAGCAATCTTTCCAGCTAAATGTGTAAGGGGCCAGGAGTGAGGGGACAATGGGACAGAGCCTGAAGACAATCGTGAGGTCCAGAGCCCCCAAGTTACTCATCACCCAACCAGTAACCCTAGAGCACAGTTGCGTGCCCCTGTCGGTGGCCCTGCAGCCCCACTCCACTTCATCCGCTGCTTCCTGCCGGGCAGTGCGAGCTTCCATCGCCTTCTGCAGAACCTGGCAGGGGCTGGCCCATTCGATCCACACACCAGCAGGGACCTCGGCGCTGCCTCTGTGAGGAGCGACACTGGAGGGAAAGGGGGGACACATAGATCAGGAGTGAGGTCAAGGCTTCCAGCAGAGGAGAAGGAAGAAAGCGAGGAAGGAAGGGAGCGAAGGAGGGAGGGAGGGAAGGAGGGGGAACTCTGAAGCCTGAGAGTTCCCTCAGAATGGCGTCCTGTGGCCGCCCCCAGAACAGTAGCTTTCAGTGTGGACCTCAAATCAACAGCTGCAGCGCACAAGAGAATGTATTAGAAATACAAATTCTCAAGCTAAGCAAGACCTACTAAGTCAGAAACTGCCCGTAGGGTGGGCTCAGCCCTCTATGTGTTCACAAGCCCTCCATGGGATTCTGAGACCTCGGCTTCGAGAGCCAAGGAAAGGCCATTCCTCAGGGACTTGAGGTCCTCTACTACATAGTATGAGCAGTTATTCTTTATGTTTGTGTGGATTTTAACACTGGAAGATGCAGAAATGGTGGGGCCATGTCTTTATGTGATTGTGAACACCTTTCTCCCCCTTCCTGGCAGGACCTTGCACTAGGGAGGAGTCATCCTACCTGCCGCTTCCGGTAGAAGCCTCGGTGGTCACAGTTAGGCACATAGAGGGTTTGAGCCCCTCGGAAGATCTCAGTCTGGAGTTGCTGCAGCACTGAGTCTAGGTGTCTGCGGCAGGGGCCCTGGAGGAGGAAGAGTTGCAGCTCAGAACCCAAACAGCCAGGGTCCCAGGCCTGACAGTGGAGACCCCTGCAAGCCCCTGGGAGTCTACGGGCACCCCACCCTTTTCTCCCTCAAGCCCCAGATGCACCATCTCAGTGTCTTGGACAGCCCCAGAATTTGGCTTGGCAGGAGTGGTAGAGGTTCCTGGATTCTTCTGTTGATCTCTTCGGTTCACATCTTGGGGGCGAGTGGCACTTCCATGGGGTTTATTCTCCTTCAGAGTCTCCTCTATGGCCACAGGAGGGATAGGAGAAGAGTCCAGAAATCAGCCAGGTGCCAAAGACCAGTGCCACATGGAGGAAAGTTCTTTCCCACCCAGTCCACTGAAGTGAGAGCAACAGTGGGCTTCATGGGTTAGGGAAAAATGGAGGGTTTAGAACCTTGATTTCTGTTACCTTATCCTGGCTGTAGTGTTTTTTTTTTTTTAATCTAAAAAATAATTAAATTATTTTTCCTGACAATATTCCTTAGAGTAATTTTAATTCTTATAAAGGGGGAAGTATTTTGCCTTCAGGTTTTTGTTTTTGGTGTTTTGTTTTATTCTGAGACATGGTCTCACTCTGTAGTCCAAGGTATCATTGAACTCACTAGATAGGCCAAGCTGGCCTTGAACTCACAGCAATCCTCCTGCCCCAGCCTCTTGAGTGTTGGGATTAGAAGTGTATGCCACCACACTTGGTGTAAAGAGAAGCATTTTGTCTTTTTGAGACAGAGTCTCATTATGCAATTCAGGCTGGCCTTGAGCTCATTTTGTAGCCCAGGCTAGTCTCAAACTCCTGATGATCCTCCTGCCTCAGCCTCCCTAGAGGAGCATTTTGAAAAATGGAAGTTGTGGTGCTTTATTTCTTTGAGTACCTGCACTCAGTCCTTGACTGTGTCCTATATCTACCTCTAATAAATCCTTCTCATGCCTTTAAAAAAAAGAAGAAAGGGAGGAAAGAAGTGTGTGTGTGTGTGTGTGTGTGTGTGTGTGTGTGTG